GGCGCTGAAGCGGTGCGAGCAGTGCTGCGCGAGAACGCGGTCGACCATGCTGCGCTGGAGGTTGACTGGCTTGCTTGCTAGCTCTGATGTAATCTCTCTTGCCAACTTTGTTGCTATTGTTCTGATCCTTTTGCTGATAGAACTCTTGCCGAATTTCCCCGTAATTGTGCACGTAGAGTGAACACAAGCAAACGACTAAGGAAGTGAACGCTACGATCCCTCCTACCCCGTGCCTTCCCCGTATTCAAGCTCTCGTTGTAAGAGTTTTCTCCGCACGTGCAAGTGGCTCCAGTGGGGCAGGCGCCACAGGGTGACGCTGAGGGTGGGGTGGGGTGGGCATGGGTGCAGTGCGGCATGATGGTCTAAGAGGCGCTTCAAAAATCAGTAAGGCACTTGCACCGACGGGTAGAATTTCGCAGGCACAGCCCTGCAGGTGGCCTCAGCGGGGCGGGGCAGGTGCCAGGGTGAGGCTGAGTTGGGGTGGGGATGGGTGCAGAGAGGTTTGTCAGTGCAATGCTAGAGGGGGATTGAGGCTCCAATGGGCCAGCTCCAGTGGGGAAGGCGCCACAGGGTAATTCTGAGGGATGGGGTGGAGTTGGGTGCAGTGCGGTATGTGAGTAACCTATTGATGGGGGATTGAGGCTCCAGTGGGGCGGGTGCCATAGGGTTTGACGAATGCAGCTATCAGGGGAGATGCGATGGGGGGAAAGGGAGACGCGATGGGGGGAAAGAGAGACGCAAGGGAGGGATGGGGAAGCAAGGCCAACAGAAACACAAGAAACATGATGCACTCTCACTCTAGCAATGCATGGGGTGGCATTGGTGGAAACTCGAATGTGTTGAGCCGAGAGCAGGAAAGTATCCACCCCACTGGCAGCAACGCCATGCTCATTCACCCCACTTGCAGTAGCGCTCTCCGTTTTTATCTACCTCACAGGTTCCATCCGGCTCAGCCCAACGCCGCACAGGTAGGATCTGCAAAAGAGAGGAGAGAGGGCTCCTTGAAAGGATGAAGGAGGAACCAATCAAGAGAAGAACGTGCCTGCCTCATCACTATGTGCCTAAAGTCGTCATAGGGACATCAGCATGCCCTCAGAGCACCTCTTTTTTTTTTTTTTTAGGGGGGGGCGGGGAGGGGGGAAAGGGGGAAGAGAACTTTCCGGAGAGGACGGCATCGCTGCTTAGAATCAGGCAGTATCAAGACCACATCCTTCCGTCAATCGCTCGATTTACAGTTTACGCACTTCAGGAATACGCCCTCAGAATCACGTTTCTCAGAATCACACCCTTCCCTTTCATACGTTCCTCCAAACTACACCCTTCCCTTTTATACGTTCCTCCAAACCACACCCTTTCATTTCGTACGTTCCTCATATGTGGTTGCTGGTGGTGCTGTTTGGTCGCCATACGCGGTCGCTGGTGATTTTGTTTGGTCTCCATACACGGAATGCATCATGCTACGGCGTCTTATGCGTTTCACCGTGTCGTCGCCATGCGCTGCCTTCATCATCTGAACTGCTGCAAAGGAGAAGCAAGAGGATGTGCGGAGAAGAGAACAAAAAGCAGATATGAGAGAGCAGAGAAGAGAGCAGGAAAACAAAAGATATAGAAATACAAGAGAGAGAAGAGAAGAGAATGAACGAGATGTTAGAGCTGAAAATAAAGACGAGGTAGAAGGATGGCACAAGAAAAACCTTGGCATGAACAAGGCATGAATAAGACTGATCGCAGATGAGGGCAAGGGCGAGCAGCAAGAGTCCGGCAGGAGAGGCGCGCATCGATCCCATGACTGCGGGGGCAGGGCTCCGCAAGAGAGGCAGCAGAAGAGGAGGCGGGAGGAGCGCAACAGAGACTCAAAAGAGGCGCTGTGTTACATGCGACTCAACGGTGCATGTCACGTGCGATTCACGTCGGTATAGAGTGGTGAGTGGTAAGACAGGGATGGGAAGAAGAGAAGGTTTGCTTTCGAAGGTGGAACGAGGTGTGCCGCCGAGTGGTGATTAATTTTGCGAATTACAAGCGGTAACTTCAGGGTTCCAAATAAGCTGCAGCACGATGGGTGGAATGAAAGAGAGTGTGAATGAAAGCAGTGTCGAAGGCTGAATGAAAAGCAGTGCCGAAGGCTGAATGAAAAGCAGTGCCGAAGGCTGAATGAAAAGCAGTGCCGAAGACCGAATGAAAAGCAGTGTCGAAGGCTGAATGAAAAGCAGTGCCGAGGTGGCGATTTGTATCGTTGCGGTTACGAGCGCGAGCCAAGCATGGAAGCCGTCGCGCATAATGAAAGTTTCACGTCGAAGCATGGAAGTTTCACGTCGAAGCATGGAAGTTTCACGTATAATGAAGTGCTACATATAATGCATTGCTCGACCTTGAGTGAGCCGCGAAGAGAAGACGAAATCACGTTAAATTCCGGGTACGATCTGCGTGCGATGGCTTGAATGGTGGGGCGTTCATCGGTCGGGTGGTTCTTGACTCGAGATCGCTGGGAGCAAAGAATTGGAGAGGACGAGACGATGCACTGTCGTTCACGAATCGGGAATCAGGAATCTAAGGCAGAACACGATATGCTTTCCGTTCGTCGCTTCCCCCCGTTTGTGGCTTCCAATCAGGTTCGGCAGTGGGGACATGCGACTAGGCGAAAATATCGTGAGACCAGCAGCTGAATTATATGGGTGCATTATACACCCTGTTCTCGATAATTTCACGGCCCTAAATCCCGAACCACGATCTCTTTTGCCCGAGAGGGTGTGAAATTAAGGGGGCAAATATTGTCCCTGATAATTTCACCATCGAGGCGCGGTACACTGTGCTGGCAGGAAATGAAATATGACTTGAATAGACCCAGAGAGTGTTAACGATCTTGAATTATCTTTGCATCCAATGAAAAACAGTCACGTCAGGATTGCGTTTATCGTAACCCTGACCACAAATTCGAATCTAATTTTGGGCTCCCAAAATTGAGGAATTATTCACAATCAGGTTCAAATTCGACACATGCGCGACTTTCCCAAAGTAACACGTGTTTGTAGCAAATCCAGTCCAGTCGTTATAACTTCAAGAGTTGCAACAAACATTGAAACCGTCTTGTTTCACACTTTTGAACGCGACCCGAGCAGACCCAAGCTTCCCCACTTCTCTGGCTTGCTGACAGTATAAAAAGCCGATCATTTCTGCACATCTTGCTTCAATGATCCCTCACGGTTCGCCAGCTAGGCAGCCCAAAGCCTTTGCTGGTGATCCCGAGTCAGGGCGTGAAATTAGGGGGTGTGAAATAATCGAGAACAAGGTGTATCATGAAAGCGAACGAAGGGAAATCGAAAGTAGCAGTAGCTCAATCTCTTAGGGCTGCTGACTGTATGAGAGACGCGTTCTAAGGGCGTACACCTGGCTTCATGTCATCCGGTATTGGTGTCATTCCGATTTTTTTTTCCTGGAGCCGCGAGTTTTCCGACTCGAGCTTCGGGTTTTCAGAATCGGAAAGTGACGAGCTTCAGCGAACGTGACTGACGAAATAAGATTTTGCCCCATAATTGTTTTTCCGCGGGGGTGCAGTGCAAAATTTCCAAGCCTGCTGTGACAATTTCCATTTTTTTTTTTCGACAATTTTCACATGCAATCTGCTGTGCAACATTGCACATTTTGCCTCGTGCTTGCATCGCAACCGATCTCCTGTTTTCACTGGTGATTTCAACTAGCTAAAACGAGAGCTACGATTTCAGGTAGCCAGCTAAATTTCCGTCGAAAATTTTCGTGAATACCTTTTGCTTGTTGACCCGAGGTGGAATATTCCAACTGGTGTCTTCCCACAATGTCGGATGACATTTTCACCCGAAGACACCAAGCTAGTACGCCCAAAAAAGTGAATTTAGCGTCGCAGGTCAGACCTCCTTTGGGATTGGTTGAGAATTCATGTTTACGAAAAACTGTGGTGCAGTTTGTTCACAGAGGTGGGGTTGCTGTTGCGAAGCTGGGAGGGGTTTAAATAATGAAACTTAGAATGGGCATGCCGTAGTTGCGAGTTTCGCCAATCCTGTTGCGAAATTCGCTGGGAAAGCGCACCCTGGGGGGGAGCGCGTCAACTCCCATCATCCAAACCAGAGCCGGTGACGCCCCTTATTGAAGTTTCCACATTCTTTTGCATTGCCCCCTGGGAACAAGAGAACGAGGGGAGGTGGAGACCTGACAGTGAACCGGACGGAACCGCCGGACATGGGAGAACAGTGGAGGAACGTGCAAGAACCGGGCCCCCAGAGGGGTCAGCCAGTGAGACTGCAACGGGTCTAGGGAGTGGTGTGACTGTGGTACTGTCGCAAAAGAAGCAGCTAGAAGCACCTGAGTCAAGCGTGAAAGTGTGCAAGGCCTCAGCAGGCGCAGTACCAGAGAGAGCAGACTCACAAGCACCTAGAGCAGCAGCCTCTATACCTGGGTCGGGCGGCACACACAGGTAACAGTCACCATCAATACTGACAGTCAAAGCAGACATGGCAGTAAGGATAACGTCAAAGTCTAGAGCAAATATATCCACGCTGCGTCGAACAAGCTCTAGCCAGTGGGGAAGCTCAGCGTCGTCGCTAAACTCTGCGCGCCAGACGTCGCTCAGATAGGCGAAGCAGCGGGACTGTGTGTGGCCAACTGTCCTGTCAGAAATAACTGAGCAGGAATGAATGAACTAGAACAGAGTTTGGTACAAGTAGGAAACCCTAACTTTGTGTACCCCCTAAGGTGTAACCCACTACAGCCTAGACAATATAAACATGCAATGTTTGACACACCCCCATAGGCGCAGTGGGAAACAACCACAGGGTCACAAGACCAGTCAAAGCAAAGCAAAACAAGCTCAGGGTGGATCTCAAGGATACCACACAAATTCCGAGCACAAGCAAGTGGTCACAAGACCAGTTCACATGCAGGTTGATAATATAACAAGAGATACAGTGATAACAACCTAGCAAGTGTAAACATGCAGGCATATATATATAGTGATCACAGTACAAGTAAGGTCAAGAGGTAAGCAAGTGAGGCCCAGTAGGTACAAGGCCTAGCAGAGTGCAAAAACGCTGATGGTCACAAGGCTGAAGCGCCTTGGTGAACACATCAGCAGTGTTGGCCTCCGTGGCCACGTAACGCAGACAAAGCTGACCACGCTGCTGCAGCTCTCGAGCAAGGAAGTACCGCAGAGCGATGTGCTTCGTTCTGTGCTCCAGTCTGTGCTCCTCACACAAGGCAATGGCAGCCTTGTTGTCGACGTACAGCACTGGAGGAGAACGAGGCCGCTCTCCGAGGTCGGTCAGCAGGTAGGTCAGCCAGCGTAGCTCCTGAGCAGCCATGGCTGTGGCGTAGATCTCAGCCTCACAACTGGAGCTGAGAACAGAAGAAGAGCGAGTAGAACGCCAAGAAACTGAGCCAGAGCCAAGGCTGAAGGTGTAACCCTGGGACGACCGCTGAGTAGCCTGGTCGTCTGCCCAAGAAGCGTCTGAGTGCCCTGTGAGAACAACCTGGTCTCGCCCTCCAAGCACAAGCCCCATGCCCGACGTACTGCACAGGTAGCGCAACACCCTCTTAGCAGCATCCATGTGCTCCTTCCGGTGACGGCCAGGAGCGACATAGCGTGCTAGGATGCTAAGAGGGTATGCAAGGTCAGGTCGAGTGCAGGTCATCAGGTACATGAGGCAGCCCACAAGCTCTGGATACGGGCCACTCGGCTCTACGGACTCATCCGAAGGCAGAGCTGAGAGCGAGTGACCGGTAGGCAGAGGAGTGGACTGAGGCGAGGAGTACGTGAAGCGGAAGCGCTGGAGGACCTGCTGCACCATGTGTGACTGAGTCAGGGTGATGGTGCGCCGTGCTCTGTCCCGGGTGATCCGCAAGCCAAGATAGCTCGTCAGCTCACCCAGGTCTGTGCACGTGTGTCTCCTCTGCAGCTCCGACTTCACGTGAGCGAGTGCCGCGGTGTCAGCAGTGGCAAAGACCAAGTCGTCGACGTACACGAGGATGTAGAACGGCGGCAGCGAGGTGTCGGTGCGTAGAAACAGCGACGGGTCAGCAGTAGAGGGAGCGAACCCAAGAGCCGCAAGTGTCGTCCTCAGTGTGTCGTGCCACTCACGTGGCGCCTGGCGGAGACCGTAGACCGGCCGCTGAAGCCTCCACTGGGTGCCAGGAGGAAATGACCCAGTGAAGCCAGGGGGGCGGCGCAGCCAGATCTCCTCGTGCAGGCTGCCCTGCAAGAAAGCAGTGCTGAAGTCAAGAGAGTGAAGCTCGTAGTCGCGGTGAGCGGCTATGTGCAGCAGCACCCGAAGAGTAGTCATCTTCGGGGTGGGGGAGAAGGTCTGAAAGAAGTCTACTCCCTCTCGCTGACTGAAGCCTCGAGCCACGTAGCGCGCCTTGAAGACAGGTGGAGAACCCGGAGGCCGCTTCACCCTGAAAATCCACATGCCACTGACGATGTTCGCCCCAGGAGGGGGAACCTCGTCTACGTAGGTGCCTGTGGACTTCCAGGAGGCCATCTCTGCGTCCATGGCTGTCTGCCACTGAGAGGAGTAGGGACCCGCCATCGCCTCAGCGTAAGAGCGTGGGGTCGGGATGTCTGGTGCATCCGGGTCTCCCTCAGGGGCAACTAGCAAGGACACGAGACGGGGCAAAGCAGCAGCAAGGCAGTGGAACTCCTCCTGTCTGTCCTCAAGGACGTCCGTGCCGAGGGCACACTCACCCCCGACGGACGGAGGACAGGCAGACGCAGACTCAGACCTAGCGACAAGGCTGGCAGCGTAGTCTAGGCGACAGCGAGCAGCAAAGTCAACCAACTCAGCGACCAGGGCAGACGCAGCAGAGGACTCAAAGGTCGGGTCAGTGACAACTGTAGCGAGGAGACGCGTAACAGTGGGACTGGCAGCACGACGGGAGTCAGACTCCGGGTCAGGAAGAGTAGGAAGGGAGGACGCAGGAGGAGACGGCAGCGGGACACGCTGCGGAGCAGTGGAGGGACGCAGAGTCATGTAGTGAGTGCCAGGGACAGGAGGAGGACGCTCACGTGGGACACGACGACCAGTGCGAGCAGTACGAACAGGCGACGCAGGACGAGACTCAGGCTCACGACGCTCTGTAAGACCTCCTGTGGGACCAGCGTAAGGAGAGGGACCAGGGAGAGGCGAGGCAGGCGGTAACTGTGACTGCGGCTGGACAGGCAGAGGACACTCGACGGAGGGAGGAGGACAAGGAGGAGGAGCCTGACCAAGAACCTGCTGAAGGAGCGGTACGAAGTACGGTCGCGGCCGCGCAGCGTCTCCAGAAGCAGCAGGGACACCAGTGGCAGCCCCAACGCCCGAGTCCTCAGCACCAGCAGCAGCTCCAACGCCCGAGTCCTCAGCACCAGCAGCAGCACCACCGGTCGGGTCCTCAGCACCAGCAGCAGCTCCAACGCCCGGGTCCTCAACACCAGCAGTAGGGCCACTGGTCAGGTCCTCAGCACCAGCAGCAGCGCCACCGGTCGGGTCCTCAGCACCAGCAGTAGCTCCAACGCCCGGGTCCTCAGCACCAGCAGCAGCTCTAGCCCCCGGGTCCTCAGCACCAGCAGCAGCTCCAGCGTCCGGGTCCTCAGCACCAGCAACAGCACCACCGCTCGGGTCCGCAGTACCAGGAGCACCACTACGAAGACTGCAGCGCCGCGTGTACCACTCGCGGATCACCTGAATGGGGGGGAGCTCCTGGGTAGGAGGGGAAGTACCGGGACGAGCTCCAGAAGCACCTCTCCGGAGGCGGCAGTACTCGAGGTACCTCTCCTGCAGCTGCTGGGAGGAGGGGTCTCCTCCAGGTGGAGCACGCTCAGGCTCAGCACCCCCAGACTCAGCACCCCCAGACTCAGCACGTCCAGACTCAGCACCTCCAGGCTCCGCACCTCCAGGCTCCGCACCTCCAGGCTCAGCACCCCCAGGCTCCACACCTCCAGGCTCAGCACCCCCAGGCTCCACACCTCCAGGCTCCGCACCTCCAGGCTCAGCACCCCCAGGCTCCGCACCTCCAGGCTCAGCACCCCCAGGCTCCGCACCCTCAAACGCAGCACTCCCAGGAAATAACTAGAAATAACTGAGCAGGAATGAATGAACTAGAACAGAGTTTGGTACAAGTAGGAAACCCTAACTTTGTGTACCCCCTAAGGTGTAACCCACTACAGCCTAGACAATATAAACATGCAATGTTTGACATGTCCCACAAGTCTGCCCAGCCCGAGCACCTGTGCAAATGACGTACGTGCAGCAAGCAGTACTCCGAGACGCCCCTCGCTGAACGTACCACTCACGAAGCTGCTGGGGTGTAAGGGTCTCGCGCGGACGCCGCTGCAGCTGCACCAGGCCACCGCCAAGAACTCCCCACCGAACAGCTCCACCGCGACCGCCACTACGGCTGCTGCCACCACTCTCACTGCTGCTATCACCGCCGCCACCAAGCCCACAGCTACCACGAAGAGAAGTCATAGCGGGAAAACCTCGGAGGCGTGCGACCAGCAGGGTATCACTCAGAGAAAGCAGGGCGGCGAGCTGGTACTTGGGTAACGTGTAGGGTAGGGCAGGGTGGCGTACGGCTACGGAAGGGCGGTGTGCAGGGCAGGGCAGAGGCAGCGCGAGGGCTGCAGAGGTCGGGCGTGGGCTGCAAGGGCGGCGCGCGGGGCAGGGCAAGGGCAGCGCGAGGGCTGCGGAGGCTGCGGGGCAGCAAGGGCGGCGCGCAGGCGGCTGGGGCTCGCGCGGGGCCGCAAGCGTCAGTGCGCAGGCTGCAGGGGGCCGCGCGCGAGGCAGCAGGAGCAGCGCGCGGGCTGCTGGGGCGGCGCGCGGGGCTTCAAAGGGGCCGCGCGAGGGTGGTAAGCGGCGGCGCGCATGCTGCAGGGGCCCCGCGCGAGGCAGGGGACGCAGCGCACAGGCTGGTTAGGCGGCGCGCGGGGCTGCAAGGGGCCGCGCGAGGGCGGCGAAGGCGGTGCGCGGGGCTGCAGGGGCCGCGGGCGGGGCAGGGGACGCAGCGCGCGGGCTGCTTAGGCGGCGCGCGAGGCTGCAAGGAGCCGCGCGAGGGCGGCGAAGGTGGCGCGCGGGCTGCAGGGGCCGCGCGCGGGGTAGGGCACGCAGTGCGCGGGCTGCTTAGGTGGCGTGCGGGGCTGCAAGGGGCCGCGCGAGGGCAGCGAAGGCGGCGCGCGGGGCAGCAGGGGCGGCGCGCGGGCTGCAGAAAGGCGACGCGCGGGACTGCAAAGGTGGCGTTCTAGCTGCAGAGGCGGCGCGCGCGAACGGTACGGGGCAGGTCAGGGCGTGGGGTAGCGTAGTGGGCCCGAAAAAAACGGTCCTACGGACCTACTGTTCGGAAACCATGTCAGAATCCCAGCCACTAACCACTGGGATAAAATGGCTTGTTTGTGTAGCGGGTGAGTGCGCCCATAACCCCCCAGGCCGACGTGCCTGTAACCCTTCCCTAGGATCAATCGAGGATCACCAGTGGACCTCTGACACCCCCCCGCACTGGGATGCCCGAGGTGCACACACCGAGATTCGAACCCGAGACCTTCGCTCTGATACCATGTTGAGAATACTAGACAAGAATGAATGAACTAGGAAGATTTGGGATACAAATACTGTTGGGCTGAGAAAAGCCCTTAGAGGATCTTTGCAGGGGTGAACTCTGGGTAGGAACGATGTAATAGCGGAAGCGTTTAATGATAAGATTCTGAACCACCTTGCGCTAGTATGTGAGGGCAAAGTAAGTTGATTAAAACAAAGAGATACAAGCTTTTTTATAAGAGTACAAGGAATATGAAGAGATATAGTTATAACCGTTTTACTGTTTGCTGTTGCGGTTCGATACAGTGACGACTCGGGCAACTGCTCTGTAGCGAGTCGGATGTGTGACCTTGCTGTCGCACTGTACTGGTCAGGTCAAAGGTTGCTGACCTTTGACTTTCGCGTAACCTCCAGCGGTTACTTCAACCTCCGAGGGTTGACTCGCCGGTGCTTCGATATGCTTTGCTTCGCTTGTGACTTGGTGTTTCGCCACGACCGAAGCGTTTTAAATCAATTGTTTCCAACACTCCCCTTCGCTTCTGGAGTGTCGCTGCTGGTGACGTGGCTCTGTCCAGTCAGCAGCATGCAGTACTCGAATTTCTGCTTTCCGAGCTTCTTGGTCAAATAGTCGGCTGCCATCTCGGATGTGGGACAGTATGACTGTTCGAGCCTCCCCTTCTCGATCTCGTCCTTCACGAAGAAGTATCGCAGGGCGATGTGTTTCGTCCTGTTCGCAAAGCCGTTCTTGTTGGCGATGCGAATCGCTGACTGGTTGTCGCAGAACAGGGTGAAGCTGGGTAACTGAGCCAATTTTGCTTCTTCCAGCAGTTCGCGAAGATAGAGTCCTTCCTTGGTGGCTGAGCAGAGTGCGATGTATTCTGCTTCTGCTGAAGAGAGGGCGATTAATTCCTGCTTGCTCGACTGCCAGGAGATAGGACCGATAGGCTCGAAGCGGTAGAAATAGCCGGTGCGCGAGCGCCTGTTGTCGGAGTCGCCGGCGTGATCGGCGTCGACGTAGCCGATTAACTTAGGCGTTGTAGTTCCGTTCTTGTGGTATGTTAGGCCGATCGTCGGAGTGCTGACGAGGTAGTGGTTGAGCTCTGCCAGATGTTCTGCTTCAGGCTTCTTCAGGTAGGTTGCGAGCTGGCTTGCGGAGTATGATAGATCCGGACGGCAGGTGACGGCTGCGAAGAGAAGGCAGCCCAGTTTCCTCTGGTAGTCGCGTATGCCGGCGGGTTTGAGTAGAGTAGAGCCTTCTTTGATGTTTCCTACCGTGTAGCGGTATGGCGGGGAGATGGCGGTCGGCGTGAGAGTGAAGCGTTTGGCGATGTTGTCGGCGTATTTCGCGGCGCTGAGGTAGATCGCGTCTTCTTCTTTTCTGATGTTGAGGCCGAGATACTGTGTAACGGTAGATGAGACCGTTAGCGTGAGATCCTGCTGCAGCTCCCCTTCGAACCAGGTAGTGACGTTGTTGGTTGAGCCGATGTAGAGGAGATCGTCTACGTAGACGATTAACAGAATGTAGTCGTCGCCTTTCGTGAGCCGGTACATCCCCTGATCGTGGGGTAGTTGTTTGAAGCCGATGCAAATTAGGCGAGCGTGCAGGTACTGCTGCCATAGCCGCGGAGCTTGCTTGATGCCGTAGAGCGACTTGAGTAGCTGGCAGACGTGATTGGGCTCTCCGTTGGAGCCGTGCGGTAGCTCCACGAAAATTTCTGCATCAACGGGTGCATAGAGAAATGTGTTCGCAACATCGATTTGTCGCAGCTTCTTCTTCTTCATGGCGGCGATCGCGAGGAGGATTCGTAGCGATGTGTGTCGACTGACCGGAGCGAATGTTTCGGTGAAGTCGCGTCCGTGCTCTTGGTCGAAACCGCGTACGACCCAGCGCGCCTTGAATTTGTCAATGGTTCCGTCGGCCTTCGTCTTCACGCGGAAGACCCATTTCCCGGTGAGAATGGTCTTGTTCCGTGCTACGCCGATAGGGACAACTTTCCATGTGTTGCGCTCCTCTAATGCCTTCAGTTCTCTGTCCATGGCTTCACGCCATTTTTCCTTATGCTTCCCCCCCAGAGCCTGCTGAACTGTTGCAGGCTCCTTAGGAATGGCTGCGCCGTGGACTGCGGTGACGAGTCCAAGTAGCGGGGGAGCGATGTGTCCGCGGGGGAGTGATGTGTCCGCGGGATAAGCTGCTTCGTCACCGTCTTCCGGATCAGGTAAGAAATTCGGTCCTATGCGTTCTGCTTCGTCGGTGTTGACTCTTGCAGGTGTAACGTAACCAGTGTTGGCGAAGTCGTAGTAGACGTCGGCATTGATGCTGTCGCGAGGGTTTTCGTCGTCCATGGGAACGTCGACCGAACTGTCAAACATTGCATGTTTATATTGTCTAGGCTGTAGTGGGTTACACCTTAGGGGGTACACAAAGTTAGGGTTTCCTACTTGTACCAAACTCTGTTCTAGTT